CGTCTATGGGTCGCCGGCGAGGGGTGTGGGGGTCGCTCTTAACATCTAGCGATGGACTCTGGCCATGCTGAAGGAGCAAGGTTGCATGGAACCACTGGTAGTTGGGATCGACTACCAGCCATGCAGCTGCAGTTCCCGATGTCGCGCTGTGAGGAAAACCCTGTGCCCCTATATCCTCACCACAATCCTGGTGCCTTGATTTTTGATATCGGCATCCCAGTTGTGGCTCCGTGGCGGGTGGGACTGGTGAGGATGAACTTTTTTGAGACACGTGTAATGGAAACCAACAGATCCCATACAAAAACGAACAAGGACATGACATCGTCTGGAGACCTGGTGAAGGGGAAACCCGGTGACAGGCAGACGAATATAACAGACAAAGAGTCGGTATACCTGGTGAAGGGGAAACCCGGTGTCAGGCCGACCAACACTGACCTAGACCTAGACGTACCATCTACGTCCCGTGCGTTGGAAGCCTTGGTGAAGGGGCAACCCGGTGTCAGGCAACAACCACAGGACGTGGCTGGTGACTTGGACTCCTGGCAGGTCGCTACCTATCGACGTAAGAATCGGAAGGCAGTGGACAAGACTGGGAATCCAAACAATGACAAACACAAAACGACAACCGACCGGCACAGACTCGGACAGAGGGCTAGGAAGGCCCGTAACAAAACAGCAGCTGGCAAGGCCGCCCAGCAGATTGTTACGGGTCAAGGAACCCAGGACAAGGTACAGACAGACAGACCGACAGCTAAAGGACAGACGGACAGACAAACCGACAAAGGACAGACGGACAGACAAGAGGCCTCGAAAAGGCCCAGACTGGACGACACGGTCTCACCGAGGGGTCAATATAAAAAACCAAGATCCGAGGGGCCGCGTCGAACAACGGACAAAAAATCCTTCGCGGATGCTGCTACAGCCGACTTGCTCGTAGTAATTACGGGCAAAAAGACAGGCCACATCAGCGCTGCCCATGCTGGGTTTGTCCTTAAGGCTCTGGAGGACGCCGTTGTTGAGGAACTCCTTATGGCAGGACCTTCAACGGACGAAGGCCCGAACCTTAAGGGCAAGCCCATTATTGGAGACGGAGCTCTCAGCCTCTGGTGCGAGACTCCCCGCACGCTGGAGTGGGTAAAAAAGACCGTAGCTGGCCTAAAGGTCCCGGGGTATGACGATGAACTGATGGTGCAGCGCCAAATTGATAGGCCGAAGAAGGTGGTGTGTGGTCTTCTTGTCCCGGGTACGAGGGAACCACATACGATAGCCAAGCTGCTGCGCTATCAGAATAAACAAGCAGACGTCGACCGATGGTTACTGCATAAGGCCATCGCAGGTGATGACAACACGTTCCTGGTGTTCAGCACCACCAGGGACGTTGCAGAGAAGCTTCTGGAGAGAGGAAGGAGACTGTGCTACCTGATGGGTTCGGTGTACGTTAGGTTCAGGAACCAGGGCGGTCAATACCTGGAGAGCCTGCCGCCTTTAGAGTCACCAACATCTGCTCCGTCGCCGAGCACATCAGGGGGCATAGCAGCATCCACGCCCGACCAGAAGCAGGTGACAGTGACTCCGTCTCCGGCGGATCCCACTTTGGGTGAGCAAGGAGCAGCGGACGTCATCGACGAATGGGCAGACAAACTGGGTGGAATCGACATCGGGCAGGAGGTGGATGTCGATGTTTTGCTTGCGTCCGATGGCGCCTCCACCGAGTAAAATCAAAGTCCTGCAGACCAACCTCCAGCACAGTCGCACCGCAACGGCTCAACTCAGGAAGTGGCTGGAGGACAACAACGACGGGGCTATTGCTCTGGTCCAGGAGCCGTGGATCAGATCCAACATCATATGTGGCCTCAACAACACCGGTGGTAAGAATTTTTACAACCCAGGTAACCGCTCACCGCGGACCTGCATAGTATGTTCAAAACACCTACAGGCAAAAATAATGACACAATTTTGTTCTAGCGACATAACAACAATCCAAATTATACAACAGCAAAATCCAAGTGTACCTGTCCTGGTAGTTGCCTCTGCCTACATGCCTGAAGGAGAGGAAGCTCCGTCAGGGGAACTGGCTGAGCTGGTGAGACACTGCGAACAAACAGACAAGGCGCTGATCATCGGCACCGACTCCAACGCCCACCATCAATTGTGGGGTATGACGAAAAGCAACAAACGAGGTGAGGAATTTACCACTAACCTTAATATAATAAACACAGGATCTGAACCTACTTTCGTAACAAGAAGGGGCAGATCCATCATCGACCTTACACTAGCATCAAGAAGAGCAGCGGATCTGATCTCTGACTGGCACGTTTCCCCAGAGGCATCCTGCTCTGACCATAGGTGGATTAGGTTCAACATCGCGGTACAGCGTGTCACCCAGCCACCTAGACGCATACCTAGCAAAACAAACAGAAGCCAGTATCGCAGACAGGTAACTCGGTCACTGCGACATCTGCAGTCTGGTAGTTTAGACGAAACTTATAAGATAGACGAAACAGCTGAGGAATTAACAAGAGTTATAATCTCAAGCTATCAGACAGCCTGTCCTCTTAGTACACCATCATCCAACTCGGGTGCCAGCCAGTCTTGGTGGGGTCCCGAGCTGGAAAAACTGAGGAAAAAGGTAAGAAGACTTTTTAACAGGGCCATGAATACATGTGACGACCAGGACTGGGATGCGTACAAAGATGCCAAGGCACTTTACAAGAGACGCATCCGACATTGGAGCAATGGGTCTTGGAGAAAATTTTGTTCAGATATAGACTCATGCACAAAGGCAAATAAGGTAAGGAAACTGCTATCTAAAGATAGGCAGCAAGACCTAGCACAGCTCCGGAAGGCTGATGGCTCCCTCACAGAAACAACTGAGGAGGCACAGAGGGTACTACTTGAAACCCACTTTCCGGGCTGCATCATACACACGACACATACTTGGAATGACACTAGCTGGACCCCCACGGAACAATCCTGGAACACTGCATTGAAGACAGTGTCTACAGATAAGTTAAGGTGGGCCATAAACAGCTTCCAGCCATTCAAGGCAGCCGGACCAGATGGCATCTTTCCGGCGCTGCTTCAATGGGCAGGTGAAGCACTAATCCTTATCCTGGTGCCCCTCCTGAGAGCGTGTCTTGCATTTAGATACACCCCGAAGCTCTGGAGGGAGGTCAAGGTAATCTTCATACCAAAACCGGGTAAGGCAGACTACAACGAGGCGAAATCTTTCAGACCAATAAGTCTCTCATCATTTCTGCTAAAGACCCTGGAAAGACTGTGCGACAGAGAGCTGAGAGACAACCAACTAGTCAATGTTCCACTACATCCGAACCAACACGCCTATAGTCCAGGCAAGTCGACAGAATCTGCACTACATGCAGTCGTAAGTAAAATAGAGGATAGTCTCAGACGGAAAGAGCTATGTCTGGGCACCTTTATAGACATAGAAGGCGCGTTTGACAAAACAAGCTTCGCCAGCATAGTAGACGCACTTGGCAAACACGGAGTCGATGAGACCATTATATACTGGGTAAGTAACATGCTCCGTAACAGACTAATCAGACTACAAGACGACAACCATCTCAGAGCATTGGCAACTAAAGGATGCCCTCAAGGAGGAGTACTGTCGCCTCTGCTATGGAATGTAGTTGTAAACGACTTAATTACCAAACTAAACAACCTTCACTACCACACGGTGGGCTACGCGGACGACCTTGCAATCATAATTCCAGGTAAGTTTGCGAGCACCGCCTGTGATGTTATGCGGGGGGCAATGAAGGTTGTTGAAAAATGGTGTGACGACTACGGCCTTAAGGTGAACCCAGTGAAGACGGAATTGGTCATGTTCACGAATAAAAGATCATTAGGCGACTATCGGCTACCGAAACTATTTAACACGACACTGAGGCTCTCCAACGAGGTAAAGTATCTAGGAATAACCAAACTCCAAACTGAACTGGGGATCCCACATAGACAAAACTACAACGAAGACTAACATCATTTTCTGGCAATGTCGCAAAATGATTAGCAAAACTTGGGGACTATCACCGCTCATTGTTAAGTGGCTATACACGACCATAATTAGGCCCATCATCAGCTATGCAGCAGTAGTATGGTGGACCAAGACAATCCAGGTAACGACAATTAATAAGTTAAGACGTCTCCAGAGGCGGGCATGCTGTGCAATCACCGGCTGCATGAAAACCACTCCCACATCAGCACTGGAGACAATACTTAACGTGAGACCACTCCACTTGTTTATACAACAGGAAGCTGCATGTACAGCCACGCGCCTAAGCATGCTGGGGCATTGGAGAGACAACAACTCCCCGCACACCAGCATCTTGGCAGACATGCACAGGCACTTTCCGTACTTTGCAGCAGTAAACGACCTTATTCCTAAGACGTACGTATTTGACAAAAAATACAAAATTCAACTTTATGAAGACACCCCGGACCGTTGTCTGCATAAGGAGTTGAGGGTCTACACAGACGGTTCAAAAACCAACTGTGGTACGGGCTCGGGTGTCTTCTCCGAAGACCTGAATATACACATCTCGACAGCTTTGGGTGCCTATAACACGGTCTTCCAGGCAGAGTGTGTGGGCATCATCAGAGCTGCTGAGGCGATAGAATGTCGCGGGGTAAGAGGTAAACACATTCGTATCCTCTCTGACAGCGCTTCTGTCCTACAGGCACTGGACAACAATATAATGACATCAGGCTTAATTTACGAATGCCACAGTAAGTTGACTAATATTGCTAACGACAATAGATTGACCCTACAGTGGATTAAAGGACACAGTGGCTCAAGGGGTAACGATGCGGCGGACTGCTTAGCCAGGGAGGGGTCTAGCAGGACGGCCATTGGTCCGGAGCCAATTATACCCATACCCTATCGGCAGCTGCGAACCTGGATAAGGGAGCGCTCTCAACGACAACACGACGATTACTGGTCAAAACTCACGGACTGCAGGCAAGCCAGGGAAGCCGTTCCTAAGGTAAACCTGCAGCTAACACGTAAGTTAATCAGACTACCTAGACAAGCCCTGAAACAAATCGTGGGTATACTCACGGGTCACGGCTACTTTTACAAACACCTTTGTAATATAGGTATTTCTGACAGCCCTCTGTGCAGAGCCTGCCTGGAGGCGGATGAGACGAGCGCCCATGTCCTACTGGAGTGCAGGGGCGTTGCAAGACAAAGGACTTCTCTAATGGGAAGCCCGAAGACAATAGTAGAGGCCTGCAGCAACATTCGGGGACTGCTGAGCTTTCTGGAGGAGCTGGGATGGCAGGACTGATGCCAATCCCCACGCAAAATAGGCACTAGGTGTCGAGTTGCGGAAACAGCCCGCCGTACTACTAAGACTAAGACTAAGATAGATTTACAGCTCGAGTTCGAAATAAAACACAACAAATAGCAGTCTATAGTCAATTTATTCGTGTAAAAAAACCGCACCATCTCCTCGCACAGGGGTCTCCGGTCACGGGGGCGGGTAGTAGGGTCGGGGCGGCGGCGCGGGCGGTCGGGTGGGGTAGTAGGGTCGCGGGGCGTGGAGGGGCGGGTGCGGCGGCACTGCCGCGGGGGAGGGGGCGGGGGCGGGGGGAGGCGGCACCAGCACGCCCCCGTACACCAGGCCGGGCGGCAGGCGGGGCGGCGGCGGCAGGCGGGGCGGCGGCGCCGGGTAGGAGGGCGGCGGCACGTATAGCGGGAACCTGAGGTCGGGCGCGGGGCCCGGCGGGCGCTCCACGGTCACGGGTATGGGGGCCGCTAGCCCGGCGCCCTCCGGCTTCGTGTCCGACCCGTTCTTGATCGGAGTCGCCGACTGCATGATGAAACAATGATTAGCTTAGAGCCGCGTTCACATGCTCAATGTCGACTTTGTTATGCAAAGCATGTTTCCGAGTGAAACTTCTTTGCGCACGTTTGACTTTGGGGAGAAGCCGGCGTATGCGTTACGCGTTACGAAAAGTGTGTTCGGGCGAGACGAGTGGGGGATATAAGCAAGAGGAAGCAAATTTCTCTCTTTCATTATAGCTGGTAAATGAAATATGTATATGTACACACATGTATATATATATATATATATATATAAATATACATACAGATGGAGCTAAAGAAGTTTCACTTCAGTCGTGTGGGTCAAAAGCAAACCCGTTTTTTTATTTATTTTTTAAGCATTTAACTACTATATGTTTAAATCTACAGAAAATTATACTAGAAAAAAAAACAGGCAGGGACTCGAACCCGCACCCTTCGCTATCCGGGCGAATGCACTGTGTCGATGGCCGTGTCGAATTTGGCAAAGTAATTTTGACAAAAATTGAGTCGGAGTCCATTTTGGATTGGATGACGACGTGAAAGCTTTCTATGCTTGTTTACACGATCAAAGTAGTCTTCAAAGCTACTTTGCCAAAGCAGACTTCGAGCATGTCAACGCGGTTTAAGAGCAAGCACACGTTGAGCCACAATCACGGCCACTAGCGGCTCAGTCAAGCCACTAGACGCAGCCACCGATCACCGCCGCTAGTGGCTTAGTAGCGGCCACTCGAACGCTTACTTTGCGCCGATACTATACAAAATGTATGGATTAACTCGAACCGCAGCTCATGGACGTGGCGTTTACTGACCGACATTATTGTAAATAAATAAACATTTCCAACACACGCTATATACAGCTTGGCTAGGCCAATAGCCCAAAATAAGTAGTATGTTATGAAATACTACGGAAACTGATACAAATACATATAATAAAATATCAGCAATTATATTTTATTTTTTACATTGCAGTTATTCTGAAGAAACATTATGAACACTAAGGCCAGTATTACAGAATGACAACTAAGTGTTGATCTTTATTTTGATCGCTATGTGCTATATATAGCAACATCCCTTTCTAACTATGCTCAAGACTAGATCAATCACTGAGAACCATTCTATAATACGGGCCTTAATGTGATATTATATTAGTAATTAATAAGTGCTCCTGAGGTTGTGAATTGAACACATGGGAGAATAGGAACTTTGCAGTCAGGACTAGCTTAGTACCTACTGCTAATTGCCTTCAAAATTTTCGCCAAAATCGAAATAAAACCAATCAGCATTCCACTACACTCAAAATATTTGCCTACCGAAGAGGTATCCCATACATCTACAAAACTATTGATGTAAAGTGATAATGAAGAAAGGTTAAATCTAAAGAAAATACAACTAGAAAAAAATCCACGCGGACCAGGCAGCAGGCGGGACTCGAACCCGCACCCTTCGCCATCCGGGCGAATGCACTGGCCAATTATGCTACCGCGGCCCTGACGGCCGCGTCGAAATTCTTCTAGCCATTCTTAAGCTGCAAGGCAGCGCCATTTCTTCGCATTGTAAGTAACCCACAATGTCAAATGAATACTTTTACAAGTATTAAACATTAGAAAGAATAAATAGCAATCATAGTTATAATTTTAATTTTTTAAGCATGTAACTGCTTGATGTTTAAATGTAAAGAAAATATATAAGAAAGGTTCCATGATGACAATTTTTTTCATCACCGTCCCAATTTTTCGTTATTTACCTATCTATCACATATAATGTTAATGCATTATTCCTTCATACTGTATCATCATATGATTCGAGCTTGGATAGGTATTTATAATTTTCCTCATTTCTGTGGCTAAATTATTGCAATATACTCACAAAGTAGCACAACAGTGAAATTATACGTTACTAAATCTACAAACTGTTGCAAAAGAATAAATATTTTACCTTAATCACGACAGGGGCGACAGGTGACACGGAAGTGGGCGGTGTACCGGAGGGCGGTTTCATCTCGTTTTTTGGCAGCTTCGTGGTGGAGGGCAGCGGCGGGGAATCACCGCCTGATGCCTGCGCTTGCATCGAATACAGGTCTAATACCTACATAATAAATAAACAGCCTTTTATTTACCTTATATGAAATATTTTACACAATTTGTTAATCTTATGCACTAATAATGATGGTCCCCTGAAAGGATGAAGGCCTCCTCGATTTCCTTCCACTCATCCCTATTGCTGGTTTTCTTGGACCAGTTCTGATCGACTATGCTGGCTATGTCATCTGCCCATCGTTTAGAGCATATGCGAGAGCATCAGTCAGTTTGGTTTTTGCTCTTTATTTTTTTGACACCTTTTTTTTTTTAATTGTAATTTGTGATCAGTACGTCCCACTATAAGCTGGATAAACATTGGGGGACACAATATGAATAATTAATTTGTTACTGAGGAGCGTGATGGCGCAATTGTTAAGAGCATTCGGCTGCAATTGTTGAAGTTAAGCAACTTTCGCTGTGATCAATCATTGGATGGCTGAACAAAAGTATACTATCTTAACATCTCTGCTTCAGAAGGCACGCTAAGCCATTGGTTCCGGCTGCGTTTGCAGTCGTTAGCACCACCAACCAGCACTGGGCTAGCGAGGTGGGTAATGGCCCAATCTCCTTATTCCATTCTTAAGGAAGGCCTGTGCCCCAGCAGGGGGACATTAATACAGGCTGATGATGACTTTGTTACCACCTCATTAGAGATGGTAATTTTCTGAATTGTAAAAGATATGATGTATTAAAACAAACCTATGACATCATAAGTCTAAAATTATATACTGATAGCAACAAAGATAAGATGTCTGAATCAACATCAACAATGGCAATTAAAGTTAAAAGAAATCAAGGATTTTTTTTTGTCAATGATTAAACTAAATGATTTGATGAAACAACATTCGTCTTAACAAAAGTATGATGATACATTTTTAAAAGTATCATTGTAATTTCCATAGTGACTGTGTAAGAATTGTGAAGAAGCATGCAGGCCGGCAAGGTGAGGATAGCTGGTGTGGCAGGTAGAACTGCTTGACCAGCTATCTTCACATCTGGCCTTCACCGTCACATAACATCAGGTGGGGTGGAGTCATTTGACAGACCTATCTATATATATGAAAAAAAAAGCATAATTGCCAAACCGCCATTTTGGTGCTGCTCAAAAATTAACATTAGATAAAAACATAAACAGTATAAAAGTGATTTAGCTTTTCAACTATTGATATAATGTTATAGTAATAGTGAAACTCACATCAGCCTATACAGAATACCTTTGCCGTTAAACTTCATGACGATGCAACACATAATAATTGGTCATATGGAAAATAAATTATTCTGCGCAGATGAAGTAGCAATCACTAGTTTCCTAGTTATAAGATATTAGATAATACTGTTTCTGTAAAATATTTTTTTATTATAGTTTCTCATACCTGATGACAAATATCCTCTAATAACTCCATTGTTATGTCTTCAACAAACATGTCCCACCAGGCATTGTGCTTGGGGATTCGCCCGTTCCAGTCGACCACCTCAAACTTGCTGAGTTTGCCAGCAAGGAACATGAGCGCTACGGCTATCACTTCGGGTTCCCATTGGAGACATAATGTTGTACATAAACTGAGAAAAGATTTTTATTGTAATAAGTAATACACTAGTCTTGAGCGGTTTCTGGGAAGGAATTAAACTAACCAGAGGTGAGACATTATGAATTTCTCATGTGTACAATCTGCTTGGGGTATGCATAAGCAGTATTCATGCGGGCTATTTAAACTTTACGGCTCTAGAGCCTCTAGAGATCTATCTCTAGAGAAAGGTCATTTCGCCAAGTTAATCTATGGTTAAACTTCTCAATACAAAAGTAGGCTCTAACTATCACAAAAAACGGCTTATGGTCCCGTGGGTAGCGCGCCCCGATCGGAGGGTGCAGTGTTTGACCGTGCGATGTATTTTTCGAGTGGTCTTATTTGAGTTAAAGCAGTGAAATTACATATAACTAGCTGACCCAGCGAACTTCGTACCGCCCTAAAAAAATAGGGGTTGTCCAGTGGACAAAATTGTGAATCTAAACCATTCTCAGATCCCCTTGAACACACACACAAAAAATTTCATCAAAATCGGTCCAGTCGTTTAAGAGAAGTTCAGTGACATACACACTCACAGAAGAATTGGACGTAGTTACGCGAAAACGTTCCAACCCACAGCGACCACATTTTGAGATAAACGCAATTTTGTGTTTTAGCGGTACACTTTTTCCCTGTAATTATATCAGGCAAATACTATTGGTTTTACTGTGGAATGCCAAACTGGTTATTGAATGAAATGCATATTTTTTCTAAATACATAATACAAGGCACATATAAATAGGTTAAACGAGTTTGAAACGTTTTTGCTAAATTTAATTTTGTATGAACCTTGTTAAATAGCAATTATGCATAAACGTTCCAAAACGAATTTAAGTGTATTATTTAATAAATATATCTAAAATAAATATGTAAAATAATAAATAACAATGAGGAACATACAAAAACAATAAAAAAAATGAAAATGTATTGATTGTGTATGTAAGATGGGTTTCATCATTAGGACGATTTTGATGTTTCTGTTCTGACCAGCACAGCAATCACTCCATAGGATTAAATGTTCAGCCGTGGGTTTTAGTTATTGATTTATATATTTTATTAGGCACGAACCTACTTCCTGTGCGCCTCTTCTTGCCTCTCCTTCTACCCAAACATAACAATGCCCAGTATCATGAGATGCACTATGGATACCACTATTGTAGAACCACAACTGCTTTTTGTGCAATGCAATATTCGTGAATGCGGGGTAAAGGCAATGTTTTCTTCAAATCAAAGGTTAAGCATTCCACTGAGGGTGAATTTTGTGCTTGCTCAAAATCTCTCTTCATTTGCTTTAAGCTCTCATCCAACCTTGAAAACTACATCATGCCGATTCCTTGAGTCTGGCCATACTTTCTTACCAACTGACAAAGATTTCACAAAAATTGAAACCGCACTCAAGCCCCATTAACGCGTATATACACCTGAAGAATACATCAATATTATTAAAACCTGTAAAAAAGTTAAACCTCTTTATGTTTACAAAATGACAAAAACTGATTTTTTTAGTACAACTAATCTTAGTTGGCTACATACAAAAGAAATTAAGTTGGATAAAGATAAAATGTTTTCTATTTTTATGCAAACGAATATCAATTTTCAACTCATTGAAGACAATTTCAATGAGTTGAAAATTGATAAAAGAATAAAGCTAGAACTGCAATACATAAAAGAACCTGATTTTTGTTTATTGTGGCCTAATGGCAAACCAATTGCTCCAGCGAAATTAGTGGACTTACAATCCATGTACCACTACATACCTGAGGATTGTCTTCAATTTTATAGAACGCTTCAAAGTTCTGAAGAAGCTACTGATGATGATGATGATGGGTTTGGTGGAGTTCCGGGCTTTGAGATCATAGAATACGATGATGAAAATTGAATGTTTATAATGTAAGTTTTTGATAACTTTTGGAACCATATCAGCTAATTTTTGGCATAGGTTCTAAGCTCAAAAGATCACGTTCAATTTTTTTTTGTAATACATTTTAAATTTCTTTTTGTTGTTTTTGTATGTTCCTCATTGTTATTTATTATTTTACATATTTCTTTTAGATATATTTATAAAAATAATACACTTAAATTCGTTTAGGAACGTTTATGCATAATTGCTATTTAACAAGGTTCATACAAAATTAAATTTAGCAAAAACGTTTCAAACTCGTTTTACCTATTTATATGTCCCTTGTATTATGTATTTACAAAAAATATGCATATTATTCAATAACCAGCTTGGCATTCCACAGTAAAACCAATAGTATTTTCCTGAAAAAATTACAGGGTAAAAGTGTACCGCTAAAACACAAAATTGCGTTTATCTCAAAATGTTGTCGCTGTGGGGTGGAACGTTTTCGCGTTACTACGTCCAAATATACCATAGTTATTTATTTTGGTTAAAAATATTTTTTTCTCTAGAACATATTTAATAGCAAAAATAGATCAAGTAATTGTGGATCGTTTATAGCAAAATATTAGAAAATAATATATTATAGTAAAACGTTCCAATTTATTTAGAACAGGGTTCGCAACTTAAAAAAAACAGTATGGATTAATCTAAAAGATTTTAAATTATATGGAACATTTTTGCAGAAATAAAAAATGTATAAAGATTTTGCAAAAACGTTCCAACCCACATGGATCATTTAAGTAACAATTAAATGTGCGTTTTATGAATTTAGTATAATGTTCCAAGACAAGTGGAACATTATAACGATATGTTATTCTATTAAGAGTTTTTAACAATATGTTTCAGTATGCATGTAATGTTTTTACTTTATTTTGAGTACACGTCCTTGGCATAATGGTGGGATGGAACATTTGGGTGAAACTTTATTGATGAAACTAACCTAAAAATACTACTATCTTTGTGTGCACATGATGTAATATGTAAAAAATAGTACCCTGGTTATGGTAACTCATTTTCGAGTGACTTGTGGGTTGGAACGTTTTCGCGTAACTACGTCCAATTATATATATAAAGATATTTCGAAGAAGTTTGTTTAAAACCGGACCAGTTTTTATTTTGAATAACCAAAACATAGCTAAAGTACAATTCAACATTAGCATCACAAAAAGTAGCACTAAAATACATAAATAATTATTACAACTGCTTACCTGTCATTCACAAAAGTCCAGGCCATCTGAACCATCTTTTGTAGCTTTGTCTTATCTCCTTTGAGACACTTTGCATACTTGAGCAGGTATCCGTAGGGGTGTTCGACTTGCAAGTCAAACTTGATCGTCTGCAGCAGTATCCTTTCAAGGGTCATCACTTCTTCTTTGGGATCCTCACCAAACGTACCAAACTTTTGGTCAGTGAGCAAGGACCTCGCCACTTTTATTATATCTTTACACTTCTTCGGGGTCTCTTCCACTTTACCCGCCAGGAACAGACAACAACACGCAGTTATGTATCTAGGAAAAGTTCTGAACGAATGGAACATGTAAAAACGATGAAAATAAACAACACCAGTCGCCACTGTATTATAACCTAAGTCCATTTTGGAACCTGTATCAATGATAAACCTCGCACCCTCTTTTCGATACCGATTTTCTGTTTCGTTACTGATGCCATCACGAAATGATGGTGTGTTTTGTAAATCTTTTTTATCGTAGTACCAATAAGGCATATTTGAGTTAAAACTAAAAGAGAAATTAGCAATTTATCGTCATTTGCTTCACAATCCGACTGCCTGCCAAGGCAAGGAATAATGACACTAATGACATTGACTTGACAACTAAACATTAACCAACCACTCTGAATTTAACTATTTTATGAGAAGCATACCACAAAAATATACCAATTTTATTCGGCCGGGTAATACGTTTGCGTGACTTATCCGTTTTATTACCACGCTATCGATAAATTGTGTTGCTATTTTAAAATAAAAATACATGTTTAGTGGTAAAGAGTTTAATTTGTATGGAAAGTTGGTGGTCTCGGTGGTCTGCCATTCATTTAAACTTACCAAAGAGAAGGCTATTGGTAAATTAACTGCCGCTTAAAGCGTATGCTAATGTTAGTGTAGTCAGTCACGGTTATATACCTTTTCTCTTTGCACGGTGCTCCTGTTACACGCTACCCTACCACAGCTTTTATTCATAATATCTATCCTTTGCTCTAAGTATATACCTATCAGATGTCTCAATAGGCAGACAGGCCTCGGCAAAAGTTCCAATGAATGGCTCCCAGGCAGACAGTGACAGCCCAGCGGCATCACATGATTGCCTGAGATATTTATCACCCTCCTTACCTACGTAATATTGAAACTGATTTGTTAAAATGTCCGTCTCATTGGCCCATGAACCGGGATTGTCTTTGCACTAGCCCATTAATTAATAAGCTAATAAAAGATAGTTTAGGAAACTCAATCAGCAGCTGATACGTGTACCCATATTGTTGTTGTTATAGTTCAGCATGGGAAAATTCGTTACTATCTTATCTAATGGATGTGTATTTTGATACAGAATTATCTTGTTGTTAAAAAGGCTCGGCAACGTTCTAATTATTAATTAACCTAGTGTTTTAGTTATACATACCTCATTAATTTATTTGCATGCTGCGTGGTTTAAGTTTAGTTTTAAAAGTGCTTTAAAAGAGGCGTGAAGAAGCAACATGCAAGCCGGCAGGGTGAGGATGGCTGGTGTGTCAGGTCGAACTGCTGTATCAGCTATCTTCGCGTCTGGACTTCACCTTCACTTAACATCAGGTGAGGTGGAGTAATTTGTCGGACCTATCTAAAAAAAAATGGCATTTAATCCAAATTGTACATGCGATTTAATCTTAAGCGTAATCGTAATACGATTAAGATAATTCACTAATTCGTTCGAAACAAATAACTCTCAGTAATATTGATTACTAGTCTTATCTAGTCGTAAATAAAAGCACGAAGCATTTTTTTTTCTTTTTACAATAACAATCCAACGCGTTTACTTAAGAAACCCACATTTTGAAAATTCCCTCGTGAGATTGGGGGATGGGGGAGGGGGTTGAATAAAATCTCACGACATCTCACCAGGGGGGGAGGGAGGGACAGAAAATTCAAAAAAACAATTCACCTCACGTAATTTATTGACGCCCCCTTAGCTAATTAATGAAAATATTATTTCTTAACTAACAATAAAATACACACATCAAAAGTGTCTAGGGATCAAGCATTTTTATGCGGATTTCTTGAGATTGAGATGTGGCTTTGTAATAAATTTATGATTTTATAAATTTATATGGATCCTTTTTGGTGCATTTCATAATTTGAATCAGGAACTGTGAATCAAATTCGAGTAAAAGATGAAAATCAGCTGTCAATATTTTCCCTATAAAAACATACAACGCATTGAAGACATTATTAGTGCTACTGTTTCCCTACTACTGATTAAAACCAACGTTATTATGGAGCGGCGACGTCATTTAAGCAGGGAAGAAATGCTCAGAGCCGTGGGAATGATAGAAGCTGGTTCCCGGCAACGTACTGTGGCTTTAGCTCTGAATACAAGTCAGAGTGTTATCAGTCGACTTTGGACACGATACCGAAGCACTGGTACCGTGGCTGAGCGCCATGGAGGACGGTATCGCTGCACCACACGGAGACAAGACCGATACATTCAAATCTTAACTCGAAGAGCTCCAACAATAACCGCCATGATGTTAGCCGTGAGGCTTCATCACTCTTCAGGGAACTTAATTAGCGACCAAACAGTCAGAAACCGCTTGCATGAAGTGAACCTTCATTCCCGAAGACCGCTACGGGTACCACCTATAGCAATGCACAATCGTAGGATTCGATATCAATGGGCTCTTGAACACAGAAATTGGGCAGAAGAACAATGGCGTTTCGTGTGCTTTTCTGATGAGTCTCGTTTTGGTATGAGACCGGATACAAGACGTATACGACACTGGAGAACCCCTGGACGCCAACAGCGATTAAAATCCTGCCAGGAAGTCCATCCTTATAGTGGTGGAACCATCATGGTATGGGCGGGTATTTGGATCGGCGGAAGAACTGAGTTGATTTGGATCAGAGGCAACCTCAACGCTCAAATTTATGCTGAGACGATTGTATCAGACGTCATCGTTCCTCTACAAGTGCAAATCGGTCCCTTATTTCAGTTAATGCATGATAATGCACGACCGCACACCGCAAGAGTTGTAAGACAGACTCTCGCCGCAGCTAACATCAATGTCCTGCCCTGGCCTGCTCAGTCGCCAGACTTGAACCCGATTGAGCATGCATGGGATATGCTACAGAGAAGAGCTCTGCCGAATATGGAGGGTATCCAGTCGCAAGAAGACCTTTTTTTGTTGTTGCAACGAACATGGGCGGCCATTCCACAGCGTGATTTGGATGAACTCATTTTGAGTATGCCAAACCGATGTTCTTGTGTTGTTAGTGTTCGCGGTAGAAATACGGATTATTAATTGTTTAAGTTACCCAATAAAATTTTAGAGAAAACTGTTATTTCAGTCTTTTTTTCGAACTTTTGTGTTAGTGGTTCAAATGTCAAAAATCCCTTTATTAGGAAAATGGCAAATTTCTTTATTAATGCAAAGGTGACTTGGTTTATCGTTACTGTGACAAACGAAAACACTTTATTTGATGAATCCTTAAAGAAAATTTTAATTAATATCAATCAGGAGAAAAGTTATTGCAAAAATATATGTTGATCCCTAGACACTTTTGATGTGTGTATAAAATTATTGATTATTATCGAATTTATTTTATCTAATATACCTATGTATTAAAAGAAATTTTAATTATTGTTAGTAAGGGGCCGTTCATAAAATACGTCACGCTAAAATCAGCTTTTTCCGACCCCCTCCCCCCCTATTGTCACGCTGTGTCACACTTTCTGTGACCCCTCTTGAAATATTCCGTCACAAAAACGGTCCCCCCCTCCCCAAGTATGATTAATTTCAATTGATAGTACACAATTTTTAAGAATTTAAATATTTATTTAGTTTTTATAATAAAATTTAAATATATAAATATGCGCTAATGTCGAAAAATAAACATGAGTAAATATATCAAGTTACAATTTATTGTATAATAAAACTATATACGTTTGAATGTCTTAGTCGAGTCAATAAAGACATAAAACAGGCAAAACTTGGAAACCCGGTGGAACAGCTTCGATTTTGATCATTTTTTTTTAAAAAATCTTTTTTTTATATTATTCAAAATCAGAAACCTTTGGGAGGGGGGAAATATTTTTTTTATTGTTTAATTGTTTAAACAATAAAAAAAATTTATGACATTTTTATAAAAAAATGAGGCTTTTAATAATAATTTAATATTTAAACCATTAAAATATGATGTATTGGTCAATAATACGAATGCGTTGAGCACTTACGTTATATTTTAGTTACTTCATACATACACAATATATATATGTATATAAGTATAAGTGTATATATATATATATATATTATATGTACGAGTCACGTACAGTAATCTTGTATATCTGCAGAGCAAGCATAACCTACTTTAATCACGTAGCTGTATCTAAGAAATGCATCATAATACGTCATTGTATTAACTAAATAAAAACACATATTTTACATAATAAATCAATGCTCGTCATGCATTCAACAGTAACAGTTGTCTTCCTTCCTTCATCCTAATATCATTATGTAGGGGGTCACCCCTACAGTTTGGTCCTTCGAGCCGGATGCTCCTCATGCATTCAACAATAACAGTTGTCTTTCTTCCTTTATCCTAATATCATTAGGTCCCTACCTAGGGGTCACCCCTACAGTTTGGTCCTTCGAGTTATCATAATGTGAACCTCTCAACATATACGGTCCTCCGAGCTTGGAAAAGTGGGATCAATTCACGACAGTGATTGTTCCTGTGTAACCTGGCCATGGATATGGACAACACAAAGGTATCATAATATATATATTTTTATCAAGCAATATTTTTGATAGAGAAGAATCGATTCACCCGGCCTCCCACAAGCGGGTCTCACCGGCTGAATTGAGAAGGCGCTTACACTGTGATGAATATAGATAAAAGAAAGCTGTTTTATAGCAGCTTAGCATCCTTATCACATACAAACATGGTTTTACACTAACGTCGAGAAATATCATGAAAGAAGGGCACTCGATGACTCTGCGAAGATACGACATGGAGCGCAAGTCATCGCAATACATTACAGAAGGTGAAGTAACTCAGCAGGAACAACATTATTATCATTTGGTGCGTTCGGGTCATTTAAGAAGCAGCATCCATATCAGTATCAACACCGTCTACATCGCTGGTAAATTCAAGCCGCAACAACTTCGTCAACTTGCACAGGAAGCAGCATTGCGTAAAATAACAAGGTTTGAGAACCTAGCATTAGCAGACAATAACATTCGACTCAATTATTATTTCTTGTTTTAAGTAGAGTTTAGGAGTAAAGTATTATTAATATGAGCAAGCATATATCATATCATTGATTAAATTTAGTATTTAAGTATCAATTAAACCAATGTGGAGACAACCACTGATATCGTTTATATCATTTATATCATTGAGGAGACATCCTTTATTTTTATAATATCATTTTTTTATATTTTTTATCAATTCTAACTTATAGCAAACAATCTACGTTACAAATCAGTTAATTTAGCTTTACTAAGTAACAATTAAACATTGTGGACATATCCACTGATATAATTTTTGCTGGCTCTATCATACGAGTCAACTATCATTTCCTGTTTTAAGTATCATTTTGGAGA